AAAGTCTTTTTATAAGCCATTATTATATAGGTATGGACATGGTACTGTTCTGTCTGGGATTAGACCCTGAGCAATTTTATAAAACTTAAATTAGAGTGGGTTGTTTCACTGCTCAAAAACCACCTCCCACTACTCGTAAACCCAAGGTCCTTGCTGTGGCTAAGTGGCATCCCAGCCCTCAGTTCTGGTGCTGGCCCTGCCCAGTTCTCTGGCCTCCTCTCCACTAGCCTCCTCCTTTCTCAGTGGCTCTAGCCTCTTGCTCTATTCAAGGTTCTGTCTCAACACCCCAGCTCAGGGCCTTTGCTCCATTTTTGCCCCTGTCTAGAATGTTCTCTCCCTCTTGCTCTTCCCTCGATATACCATCTCTAATGTTATCTCAGAGATACCTTTCCTCGTCACCTGACTTCAGCAGCAGCAGCTTTCTCACTGTTTCCTGCTTGATCTTTCTTCATAGCCTTCAACTCTGACATTTTATTCACACACACACATACACACACACACACACACACACACACACACACCCCAGTTTGTTGTTTCCCCCAGTTGAATGTAAGTTGCATGAAAGGAGAACCATTGATTTGTTCTTCTCTGTTTCTTCTTTAAGGACCTCTGTTAGTGTAGTGGTTACGAGTCGGGCTGCCAACCTCAAGGTCAGCAGTTCGAAACAACCAGCGGTTCCGCGGGAGAAATATGAAGCATTCTGCTCCCGTAAAGATTTACAGCCTCAGAAACCCTGTACAGGGTCACTATGAGTTGGAACTGACTCCACAGTACTTAACAACAACAACAATATTTGCTTCTTTGGAGTCCTGGTGTGGCTTTGCAGGATAATGCTGTGGACCACAAGGTATTTTTTTGAATCACAAGGTCGATGATTCAAACTCACCAGCCGTTCCTCACAAACACTATATAGGGTTGCTATGAGTTGGAACCGACTTGAGGGTACTTAACAACAGCAACATGTTTCTTCCATGGGAGTGCTGTGGCTCTGTAGGAAAAGCACTGAATTGCTAACCACAAGGTCAGAGGTATGAGCCCACCAGCTGCTCCCCAGAAGAAAGATGAGGCTTTCTGCTCCCGTAAAGATTTATAGACTTGGAAACCCTGTACAGGGTTGCTATGACTTGGAATGGGCTCAATGGTACTTAACAACAACGTTTTGTCCAGCGGCAGTGGGGACTCATTGATAGAATTCTCACTTTCCACGTGGGAGACCCAGGTTCAATTCTTGGCCAGTGCATCTCATGGGGTGCCATTGCTCGTCTGTCAGTGGAACCCTGTATATTGCTATGATACCGAGTAGATTTCAGTGGAGTTTCTAGATAAAGACAAGTGAGGAAGAAAGACCAGGTGATCAATTTCTTAAGATTAGCCAATGGACTGGCACTATGGATCACAGCTGGCTGATTTGATCATGGGACTTGGCAGCATTTTGTTCCATTGTGTGTGGGGCCACCATGTTGGAGGCTGACACCAAGGCACATGGTTCCACCATGCTGATCAATTTCTGACATAGAGTAGTTTGTCAACTGACAACTAAAAAATATTCACATGACAAAATTATAGTTTACACAAGTCCAGAGATAAACTCCATCCCAAGATCCCAACTATAATAACTCAAGTTCTGCTGCCTTGGGCTCTATGATTATTACTATAGGAAAATGGTTTTTAACTCAATCTGCAAAGGATTGTATGAGAAGAAAACTTCTGGAACATCAGAGTATTTAACAAGACTTATGTGCTATGGTCCCTGGCTGCCACAAATGGTTTGTCCTAGATTACTACCAGAAGGTTAATGGTTCGGATCCACCCAGCATCAACATGGAAGAAAGACCTGAAGATCTGCTTCTGCAGTGATGACCGCCAAGACACTGGTGGAGCTCAGTTCTGCTGGTAACACATCGGTCTGCCATTTGTCAACTCAAGGCCAAGGCAAGAGATTTTAAAATTTTGTTCCCATGCTAGATTTAAAAATTTTAATCCCATAGATTAGCTGATGAACACTCACCAAAGCGCTTTAGAAAAAACCCTTGCGGTGTAACAGTTGGGTGCTTGACTAACTGAAAGGCCAATGGTTTCAATCCAGCAGCAGTTTGGTGGATGAAAGACTTGGCTAAGCACTGGACTTCAAGGTCGGTTTGAACTACAAGGTTGGTGGTTTCAAAGTCACCAGCCACTCCTTGGAAACCACATACAGGCTCCCTATGAGTTGGAACAGACTTAATGACAACAGTCTTCTTCCATAAGAAAACCCCATGGGGCAGATGCACTGGGTCTCTACAACTCAGAACCACATAACAGCGCATAGAATGACACCACCACCACCACCACCAGGCAGTCACAGATGAAGACATTGGGCCTCTGTGAACTTGTGATTTATGATAATGTGATGCACATTAATGGTGACAGATTTAAGAAGTCACCTCTGACTCCAAATAGCCCAGCTCTGTTATGCTACACTTCTTTTCATGGGAAAGTGGCAGAAAAACGTAACTGAGTAACCTGGCTTTAAGAGCTGTATTTAACTTGTTCCAGGCTCTGCTGATACCCACCCAGCTTATCTATGTTGTTGTTGTTGTTAAGTACCGTGGAGTCGATTCTGACTCTTAGCGACCCTATACAGGGTTTCCGAGGCTGTAAATCTTTACGGGAGCAGAACACCTCATCTTTCTCCCGCGGAACAGCTGGTAGTTTTGAACTACTGACCTTGCGGTTCACAGCCCAGTTCGTAACCACTGCGCTACCAGAGCTTACCTATAGCAGCATAAAACAAATGAAACATAAAAAACCATGAGGCATGTATGCCTTTCCTTACACACTTTTGACTTCTACATCATTCTTTACCACAGGAAAGAGACATATCTGAAGTCTTCTCTTTCAAAGAAGGTGGAAGCTTTACCATTATTGAGAAGAAAACAGCTCCAGACAGGTTCTTATAAAAAACAATATTCACTTGCTCACTTAAATATATATTGAGTGATAGTCAAGGGCTAGATCCTAAGCTAAGTACTGAGGACTACAGTGATGAATAAATAGGGTAGATACTGTCTCTGCTCTCACGAAGTTTACAGACTAGAAAGGATCTCATAGAGCTAGAACTCTGCTGCTATCATAAACTCGGAACACACACTTTCATTCACTCAAGAAATGTTTGACCAGATGCATTGTGGAGGGGTAACTTTCTCATATGCGTGTAAATGCTGAACAATGAATAAAGAACACTGGAGAAGAACAGATACATTTGAATTTTGATGTTCACGAAGAATAGTGAATATACTAGGAACTTACAGAAGAATGAACAAGTGTGTGTTGATAGAAGTAGTAGAATGCTTGTTAGAAGGGAGGATGGTGAGACTTTGTGTTATGTACTTTGGACATCTTATCAGGAGGGGCCAGTATCTGGAAAAGGACATCATGCTTGGTAAAGCAGAGATCCAGTGAAAAAGAGGAAGACCCTCAACAAGATGCATTGGCAGCCACAATGGGCTCAAGCACAACGCTTGTGAAGATGACGCAGAACCGGGCAGTGTTTCCCTCTGCTATGCACTGGGTCGCTATGAGTTGGAACTGACTCAACAGACAGCACCTAACAACCTTTCTGAACTGTCCTTTCCAAACTGCCATCTCCAGTAGTTTAAACCCACAGATTTAAATTCTACCTCTGCTACCTGTCAATTCCTCAGCTATTAAATAAATGGCAATAAAAAATTTCCTTTTTAGCATACTTTATGAATTAAAAGATAACATCTGTGAAGTACTTAGCACTTAATTCATGGCAGATACTCAATACCTTGCTGTTAGTTACCATCAAGTTGGTTCTGACTCTTGGCAACCCCATGGAGAACAAAATGATGCTGGGTTCTATGCTGGTCTCACATCTTTGGTAAGCTTCAGACTTTCATTGCATTTTGAGCGTCTTCCAACCTGGGGGCTCACCTTCCTGCACTACAGCAGACAATATTCTGCTGTGATCCATAAGGTTTTAGGAAGTGGATGGTCAGGACTTTCTTCCTAGTCTATCTGGGTCTGGAAGTGCTGCTGAAACCTGTCTGGGTGACCTGTGCTGGTATTTGAAATATCAGTGGCAAAGCTTCCAGCAACACAGCAATCAGCAATCCCCCACAGTAAGACAAAGTGACAGATGGGTGTTGGGTGTAATAAACAGCTTTTATTGTTGTTAAGTGCTTTTGAGTCGATTCTGACTCATAGCGACCCTGTATAGGGTTTCCGAGGAGCGGCTGGTGAATTTGAACCGCCGACCCTGAGGTCTGGTACTTCTACAGCGTCACACCAGGACTCAGTAATAAATCATGTTGTTGTTGTTAAGTGCCGTCGAGTTGGTTCCGACCCGTAGCGACCCTGTACAGGGTTTCTGAGGGTGTAAATCTTTACGGGAGTAGAAAGCCTCATCTTTCTCCCGCAGAGTAGCTGGTAGTTTCGAACCGCTGACCTTAAGGTTCGCAGCCCGATTCGTAACCACTACGCTACCAGAGAAGCTGTTGTTTATTATCTGTATAACGGAGTCGGTCATAACGCTGGTTACCTCACAGAGATTTGACGATCTGATAAAGACACTTAGTGTAACAGGATGTTGTTGGGCCTTCTCTATTTCTCATGTTAAACGCCACTGTTTTCAGAACTGTTACGAAAGGCCGGCCATTGTATCTTGTGCGGTTGTACCCAAGAGCCTGATGTAGTCCTTTAAAGGCAACCTTTCACTGTTCTCTTTGTTCAGACTGCACGTTTCCCAGCAGGAGATCCCACCCCGCCAACGGCAAGAAAGCCAGTAGGACCGGTATCGAAGACTGACCCAGCCCTCTCCGCCGTGGGCCGGGCAGTGCTCTGCCAAGGGAGCCCGAGCACAGCGCGGCCGGCCAATCAGAACAAGTTTGGCCCTCTGCAGGCGCCGTCCGCTCACTAGGAGGCGCTCGGCCGCCCGCGGCTCGGGGACTGTCACAGGCCGGGTGGTTGGCCGAAGGCGGCGGTGGAGGCTCGTGGCCATGGAGTGGGGCTCAGAGTCTTCGGCCGTGAGACGGCACCGCATCGGAGGGGAGCGTCAAAAAGGCTCGGCGGCGCTGCAGTGCGAGAAGGAGGCCCCGGCGCCGGAGCCCCTGGCAGCCGCTGGGGGCGGCGGCAGCGCAAGGACGCGGAAGCGGAGCCCGGGCAGCGGCGATGCGGGAAGCGGGCTGTCTGAGGCGCGCGCCGCACTGGGGCTCGCGCTCTACCTGCTGGCGCTGCGGGCGCTCGTGCAGCTTTCCCTGCAGCAGCTCGTACTGCGCGGGACCGCGGGGAGCCACGGCGAGTTCGACGCGCGCCACGCCAGGTACCTGCCCGCCTGCGCGCGCCAGTCCGGGGGCGGCGCTGGCCTGGCAGCGGCGCTGTGCGCCTTGCCCTGCGGGACCGCCGGGGCTCGCTGGTCCCCGGCTACACGTGCGGCGGGCTGGCCCTGCACGCCCCTCCGGGGAGCCCCAACGTTCAGGGCGTGAGGCTGGCGTGACCCCCCAAGCGTGGTGTGCATTGGTTCTCCATTCTTTCTGTCCTCCCTGCGCATCGCTGGGTGTTCGCTCTCTCTATCTTTGGGAGCAACTTCCACTTTTTACCAGAGCTAGGCCTTCCTGCGTTTCGAATGAACTGAAGGAGAGTGAAATGTGTTTACCTAGACTTTCATAAATTCACTATTGGGGGCTGCTGGAAGGGGACAGTCTTTAACTTTTAGTGGGGGTGGTGGTGTCTCGGTACCCACATGCGATGCTTTGACATGTCTCCGTCCGGAAAACCTTCCACTCAAAATGTGCACACAATTTTGAGAAGTTTTCAGACCCCTTTAGTTTGCTCATGGCACCTGAATTTTTAACTGTAAGATTTTCCTTTTTTCTGGGGGCAAAGACACTTAAAGCTTGTTAGGAAATGCGATGAAACCAAAGATACTGTAAAGTATTTCAAAGCGTTTACAGTACTAGCAGGAGATTTTCCCCAACAGCCTTTTTTAAACGATTTCTTTGAATACAAAGTGCTGAACGTTTATTTTCTAAGGAATTTCCTGGAACACAGCCTTTCTTCCCTTTCCCCCCCTTAAACCTCTTGTAATTCAGTGAAAAGACAGTGTCGCCATAAAACAAAAGGATTTGTATGCAAAGCAGTAGAGTTCTTTTTAGCCTGAATTGAAGTTTTGGGGCCTGGTGTGCACTCAGTGGGGGTTGGGTCCACTCTTAACAGGCAAAAGTTTTTTCTTTGTATATTTAACCTCTTGATTTAGGTATATGCTTGCTGTCTTCCTCTATAGATACATGCTGTCCATAGAATTGATGAGTCACAGGGCACGTGAAGTTCTAGCCAGTCCTGTCTATAGCAGTCATACATTTTGAATGTGATCCTTCCTTAATTTTCTATTGGTTTGATGTGGGGATTGGGATAAATTCAGAATGGGGTAGATGGGGAAAACTCTGAAGGACTCTACTCTTGGGAGATGCATTGAAAGGATAAGCCGGTTACATGTGGTTTGCATAGGTTACTTGCAATGAGAGGCTGCGCTTATATGTATGAAGCTCCCTGGGTGGCGGAATTCCTTGGTTCCACGGAATAAAGATCTGGTGATCTTCCCTAACAGTTTCAGCCACAGTCAACACGGGGAAGCAGTTCTAATCTGGACCACATGGAGTTGCTATGGGGCAGAATCAACTTGTTGGCAAGGGGTTTGGGATTTATTTGGTTTTGTTCTATTATATTTAAGAGGTTATAGAAATCAACTTTTGGGGTACAGTAAGTAGACAGTTGCTGTGTGTTGAATGTTAATTTTAAGCATAACTGAGCCTTTGCTACTTTTCTTTTGGCTGTGCTCAGGAATTATCTTGAACATATAACATCCATTGGTCCCAGGACAACAGGAAGTCCGGAGAATGAAATTTTGACAGTTCGCTATCTTCTGGAGCAGATTAAAGTAATTGAAGAGCAAAGCAACCGTGTTCACAAGATTACAGTGGATATACAACGGCCTACGGGCTCCTTCAGCATCGATTTCTTGGGAGGTTTCACAAGTTATTATGATAACATCACCAACGTTGTTGTGAAGCTAGAACCCAGAAGGGGAGCCCAGCATGCCGTCCTGGCAAACTGTCATTTTGACTCTGTGCCTAACTCACCAGGTATGTACATGTCTTTTTGAACTTTATGAAGTCATTGCAGTGCAGAGCTTATTAACCCCAGGTTCACTGTGGGGCCCAATTTTGATGGAAGGAGGGAGGGTAGCTGGAATCTTAACCTTGTAGCTGAGGCTCTAACCTTTCAGCCCTCTGTCTGTGCGTTGGTTTCTTTTGCTCTGGTTTTAGCAGGAGCACCAGTGACCTCACAGTGGTGCCCGCATCGTGGGTTCTTGTGGCCTGGAGTCAGCTGCTCCATTTCATGTGCTTTCCTGATAGGTGGCACTTTGGGAATAGCAGGATAAAGGATAGTCGTTGTCCTTGAGGACTGGACACCTCTCCCGGCAGTTTCTGGTGACCTGTAAAGAGAGAATTTGGTCCACTGGGGGTGCCGTACTGTTAGATTACCTTATGGTTAAGAGTACTTCATGAGTCCATACTGCATACTTTGAAAATATTTTGGCAAAATAGAAGACTTGATGCACAGGACAGTGCCTGGCAGAGCAGATGTTGTTGTTAGTGTCATCGAAGCAGTTCCAACTCTTAGAGACCCTGAATAGGGTTTCTGAGGAGCAAATGGTGAATTTGAGCTGCTGACCTTGCGGTTCAGTCCGACTTGTGGTCCAATGCATTACCCCATAGAATCACACCAGGACTCCTCAATTGGACGTGTTGTTATTGTTAAATGCCATCGAGTTGATTCCGACTCATAACAACCTTGTATAGGGTTTCCATAGGGTTTCCAAGGAGCAGCTATTAGGTTTGAACCATCGACCTTGGGGTTGCAATCTTGTGTTTATCTTTGTTATTGTTGTTGCTAAGTGCCGTCAAGTCGGAATCCGACTCATAGCAACCCTGTAAAGGAGGGTCGTGTACAGGGTTTCCGAGGAGCAGCTAGTGAGTTGGAACTGCAGCATTTACAGCCCAACCTGACTTTGCGGTTTACCATATTAACCAGCAGTGCCACACTCACCTTACACCACCACAAATTGAATCAAATTTTTTTTTTACCAAAACATTCCTAGTTAACCAACAAAAAATCCACTACCATTGAGTCAGATCCAACTCATAGCAACCCTATTTAGGATTTCCAAGATTGTAAATCTTTACAGAAATAGACAGCTTTATCATTCTCCTGTAGCTTAGCTAATGGGTTTGAACCGCCAGCCTTGCTGTTAGGGGCCCAGCATTTACCCTACAGAGTCACCAGGGCCCCTTCTCAGTAGTTAAATAGTGGAAGCGCTCAGCATGTTAGAATAAGGGAGCCTTGGGATGGCATCTGGGTCAGCCCCCTCACTTGAAATAGGAACCAAGTGGCTGATGACCACTGAGGAGAGGCAGAAGTGGGACCAAATGCTGGGTTTCCTGGCTTGTCAGTACTTTCAGCTACATTGGAAAGTATGGTGAGTATTAGGGTGCCATTGGTAGAGCACATACACCCTTCAAAAATGTACTGAACCTGAGATTCTCGTCTATAAAATGGGGATCATAATAGTACCTTGGACAAATTATTTGACCTGGGTTTCTCATCTAAGAACTGGGGGTATTAATAGTACCTGATGAGGCTTTCTACTCCCGTAAAGATTTACACCCTCGGAAACCCTGTACACGGTCGCTATGGGTCGGAACCGACTCGACGGCACATAACAACAACAACACAACAACTGGGGTTAGGAAGGGACTATTATTGTCCCTATTTTTAGATGAGAAACTTGGGTTAGATGATTTGTCCAAGGGAACATGCGGGATTGAAATCCTGGTGTGGTGCTGTAGGTTAAGCCCTGGACTACTAACCACAAGGTCAATGGTTAACCTCACCAGCCCCTCCTTGGAAACCCCTACACAGGGTTGCTATGAGTCAGAACTGATTCGATGACAATTAACAACAACAACTACATTGCTATGAATACTAACTGAGGATAAAACATTAGAACAGTGCCTGGCATACACCAAAAATTACACACACACACGTATTTCACTATTAACTTCCTTCATGGTACAACTTCTGGATTGCTTGCACTGAAAACCAGTACCAATATGAAGGCCTGTGGGTGGTGGCTCTGTTGGATAAGCGCTGAACTGTGAATCGCAGGTCGGTGGTTTGAGTCCAGGCTTTCTGCTCCCACAGAGGTTTACAGTCTCAGAAGCACTTTACTGAATCTATGAGTCAAACCAACTCAGTGGCACTTAACAATAGTAACAACAAAAGTTACACAAAATATACAGTAAACCTTACTTGGTTTTTAAAAGGATTCTTAGTAAGATTTCTTTAATTAGAAAGCTTGCCAATTGGTGTTTACAATGCAACTTGGTACACACATCTGTTGTATAAAGTCAGAAAACCCTTCATGTGCTTGGGGGGAAACGGTGGTCTTTTCAAAGTAGTGATGGAATAACGGTCCCGTTCTAGCTTTAGGTTCTGGGACGGGACAAGACCCCAGGCTGCTCCACAGCAGTATCATTATATAAGCAAGATGTTTCTGTGAGGGGCTTCAAAAAGTTTGTGGAAAAAATTCCATTAACTTTTTGTTTCGTTTTTCCACAAGCTTTTTGAAGTCCCCTCATACACATAACGAGGAGACAACAAACAAGCGCCAGATGTTGCCAGTTACATAGCTGGAGCCTGATACAACAGAATGGACTTTCAGTGGGCCGTTGGCGCCCACTTGTCACAAACGAAAATTTCCTTAGTGTAAGCTACACCACCAGTGTCTGTCCTCAATAAACTGTTCACGGTAGTGTTTCACACATTTCTCCGATGAACTGTCACCTTTTAGTAGGCAAACTCACTGAAACATGAGTGGTTTCTCAAAGCTCTGAGCGAAGTATCCAGGACTTGGGAACTGATAGCAGCTAGAAGTAACAGTACCCACAGAAAGGTCTGAAATGTCTGTTTCACTTGCTATGAGGCTGAAGGTTGTTGGCAGAAGACAGGTTGTGTTTTTTGGGGGTGACTCCAATTTCAGGGTTAATTCTAAATGGAAAGGGTGTCATTGTCATTGTTGGTAAGTGCTGTTGAGTTGGTTCCAACTCCTAATGGCCCTGTGTAGGGTTTTTGAGAAGCGACTGGTGAACTTGAACCACCGACCTTGTGATTCAAACCAACCTTGCAGTCCAGCGCATTAACCCACAGTGCCATACCAGGACTCCAGATAGTACCCTCTGCCTGCCTTGCATTTGCTTGTAAGATGCTTGATCCCGCTAAGACACCCGAAAAAGGAAGATGAGGAAAGAGAAGTAGACAGCTAATCTAGCCTCAGTAAATGCATGAGGGGGCTTCCAAAAGTTTGTGGAAAAATGGAATTAAAAGATAATGGAATTTTCCCATGAATTGTTTGAACCCCTGCTATACCTTTCATTTTCCCCTCGTCTCTTACTCTTAATTTATAACATTCATTTTGAATTTGCTTTTTATTTTATAGCAACAGTCTTAACGTTAGGAAGACACATTTGGTTTCTAGGTGAGCGTGGTTACTGATGGCTGTAGTAATTGGACAATGATTGCTTTGTTCCCCCTTGATTACAATTCAATTCTGAAATCACAACAAAGACAAATAGAGCTAATCAAGCGGTTTTCTTCTTTAGCAAGACTGCAGTTGAACAGCCCAGTGATTCAGCTGGCTGCAGAGCCTGCCTCAGGTCTGCAGAAGGAAGGAGCAAGGACCCCGCCCCAGCACCGGGCACTCGCTTGTGCAGTCCTCACAGCAAACCTGCGAGGCTGGTGCCGCTGGCCTGCCTTCTAGAATGGGAAGCATCAGAACACTTAACATGACAGAGTCACCGTGTACTTCCAAGTCTCTCTGGCTCTGGAGCCCACACTAAACACCACAACTGCCGTGTGCACCCAGAATTGCGATCGTCTGAGTCAGGCCTGCACTCTAAGCTTTTGCTGTGGAGAATGTTAAATCACTACAAAAGCAGAAAGGAGTGTTTTAGTGAGCCCTCGTGTGCCTATCGGGAGTCCTGGCATGGTGCTGTAGGATAAGCGCTAAACTACTCAACGCAGGGTCAGCGGGTCAAACCCACCCGCTGCTCTTTGGAAATTATACAGGGTCGCTAAGTAACTCAACGGCATATAACAACAGTATATACCTGTCACCTGGCTTTGCGAGTTACCAACCAGTGCGTGGCCTTATTTCTCTTGTACTTCACCCTTCCATCAGTGCATAGTATTCCAGCCGATGCAGCTACAGGACTTGTTCAACTACATACTCACATCACCAGTCATTCTCTCACCTAAAAGAATGACCGCTAATTCCTTCATATCGCCAAATAGCCTTTAACCGTATCTCAGAGTGCTTTTAAATCGTCAAGGTGCTGAAGTTATCTTTACAGTCACCTTTAATATGTGAAGCTTCAGAATCAAGGAAAGAAGATGGGCTTTGACTAAATCCTCTGCTTTGTTGGTGCTGAGACCAGGGACACTGCTTACGCCCCTTTCCCCTTCCCTGTGTTTGATTAGACTAGGTGTTTTCTTCATACTTTTTAAGCCCATGATCTCCCGGGAGACACCTTGAAAAAACACACCACCATCCAGACCGACCCCTCTGTAGATGCAGTGTGATCTGCAGCCTTGAGGGTGTTGGCAGGAAAACAAGCAGAATGGGAGGAGGCAGTGATGGCAACAGTTGGAAGCTGTTAATTCAGGAGTGAGAAAGTGACAAGGATCAGGAATAAGGATCAGGATTCAGCACATGTCCTTGGGCTGCTGAGATACCAGTGCTTGATACTGTTTTAGGTGCTACATGGTCGATTTAGTGCACAGATATTAACGGAGTGGTTCTGGGCAATCAGAGGACATCACTGAGCAAACCAGAGACCCTGTCCTCACCAGGTGCCCTGCTGGCGGACATCATTGTCACCTGACGCCATTCCTAGCCACTATGGTTCACTGGAGAGACTGTAAAGCTGAGCAGCAAATCTGTGCTTCTCATTTAAAGGTGCCAGTGATGATGCAGTTAGCTGTTCAGTGATGCTAGAAGTCCTCCGGGTCTTGTCGACGTCGCCAGAAGCCTTCCATCATGCCGTCATCTTCCTCTTTAACGGTGCTGAGGAAAACGTCTTACAAGTGAGATTTTACTATTTTAAATGTGAGGCTTGAATGATCATGAGAATAATAATAATAGGATGAATAGCCAGCGTGTATGCTATTGTTTCGTTCTGCTGTGCATGGGGTCGCTATGAGTCGGTTCCAATTCGATGGCACCTGACAACAACAACAACATGCATTCCGATTAGTCGTTTGAGTGACGCGTCCTAAGGTGATAGAAGACACATTGTATCTGGTTGTACTTTAAAAAAATCCATAGCTGCTTACATCAGCTTGCTCCGTATTTGAACATCTCAAATCAAAACGGATGACTTGGCAGTGTTGGATTCCTAAAAGGGCTCTTTGATGGTTTAATTACTCATCTCCTTTTTTTAAGCTTGAGTTTGAGACATTTGGAGGCAGGCATACAACTTGAATGCCCAGCCATCTGAATCTTCCCTCCTCCTCCTCCTCGAGGTTTGCCCTTTCTTTCACACAGCTCCCTACCAAGGACACTGTCTGACACCGTACCCCGTGACTCCCCACTCAGCACTGCACTGAGCCAGTATGCATGGAGAGACACACAGGTTGCTTTGGAAGAAAATGATGAGTTTGGTTTCATTGCCTTCCGCTTCTTCAGGAGCAGATAGATCTGTCTTTAAAGAAAGACTGGTCGTTTAAGACACTCTAACTTGTATTTTCCATTCCTTCTCAATTAGGCCAGCCACGGCTTCATTACTCAGCACCCCTGGGCCAGCTCGATCCGTGCATTTATTAACCTGGAGGCTGCCGGGGTAGGAGGGAAAGAACTTGTGTTCCAAACAGGTATTGTGTTTTAATGTGCATTCTGTTTTAATGCCATTCTGGTTGTTAAAAAAGTGGAAATGTTTGGACCTGAGTAACTTCTCTAATGAAATGAACATTCTTTTTAAAGCTCAAAATGCTTCTTGTTTGTCTTGATCAATTTTTTTTTTTTTTTTTTTAGCAAAATAAAAACATCAATAGTTCTTAACTTTCATATAGAGCTTATTTAGCATGAGGGATAAATACATCTCTTGCCTCCATTTTACAGATGAAGAAAATGAGGCAGGAGAGATTGTAACTTGCCTGAAGTCTCACAGTTGATAAATAGCACAGCAGGATGAGAACATGGGCAGTCCAGCTTTGTAACCACTACCCAGATTGCCGTCTTGGAGCTGAGTTTTCTTTTACCCCTTATGGGTGTTGACAATACAAATGATCTTACAAGATTATCTTTCATGAATGGAAATGAGAACATTTAGGCTTGAAATTCATCAGTGACCTTGTATTTGAATGTCAAAAATGTCCATTCAGTCAGCCAGAGAAATATTTCTACATTCTTAGGATTAAACGTTTCTGAGGATGATGTGCTAAGTCCTCGGGCTGCTCCTGACTCCGGACCCTGTGGGACCGAGTAGAACTGTGTTCCCTGGGGGTTTAATGGCAGATTTTTCAGAATATGATTGTCAGGACTTGCTTCCAAGGTGCCGTTAGGTAAATTCAAACCTGCAGGTGCTTGGTTAGCAATTGAGTCCATTAACTACCACGTACAGATTCCTTCCTAAGGCTGGTGGTGGTGATGTGCCGTGGAGTGAGTTCCAACACAGTGACCCCATATAGGGTGTCTGAGGCTACAAATCTTTACAGGAGCAGAAAGCCTCATCTTTATTCTGTGGAGCACCTGGATTCACAGTTTCTGTGAAACTGTGGTTAGCATCCTCACGTTAATATGTGTCAATGTAATTGCCATTTTCCATAACAGAATTCAAAGCTCATCAATTTGTTCAGTCAGGGCATGCTGAAACCTGACTTTAGAAGTCCCATGCACCTTTCTCCCTCTGTTAGAAATTTGGATAACACTGCTATGCCAGAGACGTAGTATTTGTTAGAAGTTGTAAAAAGGAGAGGTGTGTGTTGGGAGATGAACTCGGCTGGGGAAAGTGAGGCAGGTGATGTGGGAGCTATTTTTAGCACCGTTTGCAGACATGATACTGCTTACGCCATGAAGATACAGCAAGTGCTAAGTGTATCTTTATAATGGAAACCCATGGAAAAGGACCGCAGTGGCTGGTTGTGACTCCTGGCACCCCCATGTGACAGAGTACAGTTGTTCCCCAGGGTTTCCTTGGTTGTAATCTTTACAGAGGCGTATTAGGAGACCCTAATATTCTCCAGTGTGTTTTAAACTTCTGTCCTACCAAATGAACCCTAGTGGCATTGCACTGCTAACTGAAGATCGAAAGTTCAAGCCCACCAACTGCTCCATGGGAGACAGATGAGGCTTTCTGCTCTCACAAACCCTACATTGTTGTTAAGTGTCATGGAGTCTATTCTGACTCATTAGTGACCCTGTATACGGTTTCTGAGCCGCAACTGGTGGGTTTGAACTGCCAACCTTGTGGTTAGCAGTCTGGTGCTTTATCCTACAGCCCCACCTCAGGAGTCCTGGAAAACCTAGAGAGGGTGGTTGTGACTTGGGATCAACTAAATAACAAGGGACTGCTTTACTTCAATCCTTCAAAATAAAGGCTGTTTTTCCTTCTTAAAGAATAAGAATCAAGTGCTTGGTGTCGAATATTTGCAGGAGATAGTAAATTCCCCTCAAGTTTTTGGCAGTCTTAGGATAGGGACACATAACAGCAGATCAGAAATCAGTGAGAGAGTGTTCTGTAGGTAAAGAGGACCGTGCGTTGTCTTTCTGCTTGGGTCGGTCTCAGGACTGGATGTGAGCGGGCAAGTGTCTTTGTGTATGTCACCTGCATGTTGAGTGTCATTATGCCCTGGCTGCCCTTTGTTACTGTAGCACCCTGCGCTGGACTCTACTGCCCCCTTCCTACCACCCCCTTCCTACCACCCGCTTCCTAACGCCCCCTTCCTGAATGGTCTTCGGTATATATATGAATGTATTTTCACAGTTAGAGTCCAGAGAGGGGCCAAACTTAAGGTAGGCCCTGCCAGACCCAAGGTGGATCCTTTCTTCATGGACACTTAGTGAGTTTCCACCTTAGCTAGATCTGGCTGGCCCGCTCCTTTCAAGAAACGTGGGTAAAAAATTCTGAAGTTGTATTCAGTTTTAGAAAGGAGTGCGTTATCGGAAAGGCTGTGAAACTGTTCGTAGTGGTCACTGCTGGATGGTGGGTGTGACTAGAGTGGTGAGTGAGGCGGATGGATAGAACCAGACTGAACTCACACACTGCTTCATGGGTTTAAGAAGACCAGAATTACCATTACTGCTTTACTGAGCATTCCTTAGTGTTTCTGGTAGTGTTTAAGCTTTTGTCATGCGTATGGTTACTTTGATAATTAAGCAGAAACGGGGTTAGGACTGGTTTTTAGCATACACCCATTGGAGAGAAAAAGCCTGTTGCCCTCTAATTGTAATCCTGTGGACAGAGTCGAACTGGACCTCAGAGTTTCTAAGGCTGTGATCTTTACAGATTTCTCCTGCAGAGCGGCTTGTGGGTTCAAACCACCAACCTTTCAGTTAAAAGCTGAGCACTCTAGCCACTGTGCCACCAGCAGCATACAGGGCAGCTCTAAAAAGTTTGTGGACGAATGGAATTTCTCTGCAAACTATTAAAGCCCCCGCTTTGTATATACAATTTAATTGTTTTACACGTTCTAAAATAAAATCCCCATATTTCAAAATTATTTTTTCTTGGGAGGCGCATCCTGCCAAAGAAGTGGAGAGATGATCAGTCCCTTTTCTTGGGGTTTTTAATCAGATTTCTTTACTCTTCTTTATTGATTTGCAGCAATTCTTATGGCTCATTTGCACACCGACATGCTTGCAGACATTTCAGTACTTTTCCCTGTCTCTCTCTCACTCCCAGAGCCTCTGTGTGTGAAAGACAAGCTCTTTTTCACAAAAAGATGGGCTTGGCTCTCACAAAGCTAGTTAATGTTTCCTTCCATGAAGTGGCTGAGGGGGCTAAGGCTCCCCTGGATGTGGGTTCTGTTCGTGCATGTTTGCCAGGCCTCTGTCCTCGCCCTCTCAACAGACCCTCCTTTTTGCTGCACTGTAACACTTGTCCCATCCCAGAAGCCTTTCAGTTAAAACAGTTTGTATTTAGTGTGCTCTGGTCACTTCAGAGAGATGCCCATTGGGGGAGTTTTTAGTAATCTGAAAAACTAGTATCTTCACTATCACACACAAGTAGAATTTTGCTGAAGATAATTAAAAAATGGTCACAGCAATGCATCACCAGGGAGCTGCCAGAAATTTGGGCTGGATTTACTCCGGGGTTGTATCATTTTACCATGCTTATTCAGTCTGTATGCTGAGCAAATAATCTGAGAAGCTGGATTACATGAAGAAGAATGTGGCATCAGGATCGGAGGAAGACTCATCAACAGCTTACAACATGCAGGTGATACAATCTTGCTTGCTGGAAGCAAAGAGCGCTGAAAGTATTTCCTGATGAAGATCAAGGATTACAGTGCTCAGTATGGTTTGCACCTCAGTATAAAGAAAATGGAAATCCTCACAACTCAGTCAGTAAATAACATCATGATAAATAGAGAAAAAATTGAAGTTGTCAAAGTTTCATTTTACTTTGATCCATAATCAACACTGATGAAAGTAGCAGTTAAGAAATCAAATAATGTATTGCATTAGGCAAATACGATCCAAAAAACATCTTTAAAGTGTTAAAAAACAAAGATGTCAAGTTGAGGTTTAAGGTGTACCTGACCTAAACCCATGTTATTTTCAAATGTATCATATGTATGCAAAAGCTGGACAGTGAATAAGGAAGACCATAGAAGAATCAATGCATTTAAATTATGGTGTTGGCAAAGATTATTGAAAGTACCATGGATTGCCAGAAAAACAAACAAACCTGTTTTGGAAGAAGTGCAGTCGGACCGCTCCTTAGTTGCGATGATGATGAAATTTGTCTCTGGTACTTGGTTGGGACATGTTGTCAGGAGGGGCCGGTCCCTGGAGAAGGCCATCATGCTTGGTGAAGTGAAGGGGCAGTGAAAGAAAGGAAGATGCCTCCTGCCCCAGCCTCACTGGTTGACACAGTGGCAGCGAGAATGGGTTCAAACAGAGCAATTTTGAGGATGGTGTTGGACTGAGCACTGCTTCATTCTGTTGTGCATGGGGTCCCTGTGAGTCAGAACACATTCAACGGCACTAAACAACAACAGCAGATACACCGATGCAGACATACGTGTATATACAGGTAGTATTTCTCTGTACAGCCGTTTATTCTACTGGTAATTATGCCATTTACAGAGTCTGACTACTATGATTGGCTCTTCTATGACCCGTCTTGTAAATGTTGCTTCATGGGTGTGGCACAGTTCTCAAATAAATTGCTGAGCATTAGGATATATATTCGAGGGGCTTCCAGAAATTTATGGAAAAATTCCCTTATCTTTGAATCCCCTTCAATGTTTACCTCTGATGGTGGTGGTGAGCTCTAACTCAGCGGCCATTATGTAAACGGATGAAATGCGACCTGAGTGTTGGATTTCAGTGTTGCAACTGTGTGTCAGTCCATGACTGAGTGTTTTCCTCACTGTCATTGGCCCCTACTTTCCCCAGCCTGATGTGCTTTCTAGTGATTGACATCTTTCTTGATGGTGTATCCAAAGTAAGCGAGTCCAAGTCTTACCTCCTCACTTCCCAGGCGCATTCTGATTGTGTTTCTTCTGAGACTGACCTGTTTTCCTGGAAGTGCATGGTGTAGGCAGTAGCCTTGGCCAACACCAGTCTGTATGCATCTGTTTGTTCTTCTGTCTTCCTTATTCTTTATCCAATTTTCGCATGTTTTCCAGAGTCCAGGTAGATGGAAAGTTCTGGGTGCTGCATCTCCTCCTCAGCGCCTGTTTCTTTTTTCCACTGTGTCATTCTGAGAATGGTGCAGAAGTAGCTCATGTTCATTTCTCTGCTGACCAGTCATGGGAAGCACCTTTTCATGTTTGTTGGTTGTTTGAATATCCTCTTGTGAAGTACTTCTTCAAGTCTTTTTCTCATTTATCATACTTTTGTTTTATTGATTTGTTGGACTTCTTAGTTCTTAGCACAAACTGTCCTTTGGCCTGTCTGCCTGTTCAATCTGAACAATTTCTTTTTATGAACAGAAAGCCTTAAATTAAAAAAGGTCACTTTCTTAATCTTTGCATCTGATTTCCTCCAGCTTCACTCTGAGTCTGCCCAAGGCCAGTTCCTGTGAAGCATCCCCCCTGCAGTCCTCTTTGCCTTATTCAGACACGGAACTCTCTGCTTTATGTCTGGGTTCGATAATCCATCATTGCAATGGCCACTCAGAACCACAGACCATAATAATGGGGTTTGGTAGGGAAATGAACCGGGCACAATTTGGAATCAGAAACAACTCGGATTGCAGCAGCTCTCTAGTCAGGAACACTTCCTCTCTGCTGTACGGCAAACATTCCTCCCAATCGTCTTCAGCCTCTCAGCCATGTGGCCCTTCAGCCTCTGCCCTACTCTGACAAGTGTCACAAAGCTCGTTTAGCCTGCCTGTAAATGCCCAAAGGGCACATTCTGCAAGCAAACCAATCCTCTTTTTTTTTTGTTTAAATGCCTTTGCACCATTTTTCCAAGGATCTCACGCTCCACTCTTCTTTCTTGATGGTCCTGGGATCACCTGTTTCTGTATTGGCTCCTTTTAAACCTAGCTGGATGGCAGAATTAAGCAATCCCACCATTATAGAGTCCTGTGCACTCTGTTTGCATGGTCCTACCCAATCATTTGATGGGAGGGAGTTGTGACTTCGATAGAAAAGCCATTTATCAAGTAAACTCATGGCACTACAAAAATATTACCATTTTTGTGTATATATTGTTGAATTCAGTTGGTTAGTATTTTGTTCAGGAAATTTTTGGGAGGAAAATTTGTTTATAATTTTCCTTTTATTGTAAAGTGTGACAGATTTGGTATGAAGGTTTTTATGACTTAACAAAATATGCTCAAACATAATTTTTTTCTGTCTGGGAGAGTTTGTGTAAGATTGGTATTATTTTTTTCTTGTCTGTTTGGGAAGATTCTAGTGAAGACACTTGCTCTGGAATTTTCTTTAGTAGATATAGGACTGTTAACAGTTTCTATTTCTCCTCAGGTCAGTTTATTAAAACTACTTTGTTTTTCGCTATGAGTTGGAACCGACTCCACGGAACATAACAGTAACAACTGTGTTTTTCAGGGAATTTTCTAGTGAAATATTATTCGTATGAAATCGGTATCTAAACTGTTTCGTTTCTGCGGTGTGTGTGTCATTTTTGATGTTGGTTCTTTAGGTCTGTCCTCTTGGTTTTCTTGATCGTCTTTGTCTTTTGTTGTTGTTCTGTGCTGTCAAGTCGGTTTCTGACTCAGAGCAAACCCTGTCCGTCTGCATGACAGAGCAGAACTGCTCCATCGGGTTTTCTTGGCTGCAGTCATCATGGAATCAGTGTGCCAGGTCTGCATCCCACAGAGCCACAGATGAGTAGCTTTGAAGCACCTGGACTCCTTCTAGCCTTGTCTGTTGGTGGTGTTGTTGTTGTTAAGTGCCGGTTCTTTAAGAAGAGCAGTAAAATGAATACATCCTTATCTAGGGATTCATTCATTTTCCTGGTCTTTTTAAAGAACTATTTTTTTTCCCTTGATGCATGTTACTTTCAATTTAATAGTGTCTGCTTTTCCGTTACTACCTTCCTTCTCTGCTCTTTGGAGAGCCCTGGTTATGCAGTGGCTAAGAGCAAGACGGTAACAGAAAGAAAAGTCAGTAGCTCGTATCCACCCACTGGATCTGTGGGAGATAAGATGGCAATATGCTCCCACAAAGACTGGTTGTTGTTAAGTGCCATCAAATCGATGCCAACTCCCGGTGACTCTGTATATGGTTTCTGAGGCTGTACATCTTTGGGGAAGCAGAAAGCCTCATCTTTCTCCCGCAGAGCAGCTGGTGGGTCCAAACCACTGACTTTGTGATTCATAGCCCAGTGCTGATCTTACAGAGCCACTACGCTTTCCCTCCATGAAGATTATGGCCTAGGAAATCCAATGGAGAAGGGCTAGCCTGTAGTAAAGGGTTGCTATGAGTTGGAATCGACCCGACAGTGTACAGCAACAGCAACAGTAGCATCTTCTTTGAAATTTCATTTGCTGGGGTGTAAAAAATGTTTTAGACTAACTTCTTGAGATGGATGCAAAAGTAGAGCAAACATGAGAATCGCCTAGAGAGGTTGTTAGAACACATTGCTGAGCCGCACCCATGGAGTTTCTGATTCAGATCAGAGATGGGGCCTGAGAAACTGCGTTTTAGCACGTTCCCAGGTGTGATGCTCTTGCTGCTGCTGTACCCTGGGGACAGCAGTTTGAGAACCACTGGCTTAAATCATGGCTTCTCAGCTTACCATTGCTTTCTATTCTTAGTGCCGTCAAGTCAGTTCCAACTCACAGCGAACCCCGTAGAGGGTTTCCAAGGAGCGGCTGGTGAGTTTCAGCTGCCGACCTTGTAATTCAGACCGATCTTGACGCCCAGTGCTTTATCCCACAGCACCACACCAGGACCCCTTTTTTCTAATGTGCATTTTTATTATCTTTCCAAGCACTGCTTTTGCTGTGTCCCAGAGGTTTGTATAGGTCCCAATTCATGATCATTCAATTCAAAACATTTTCTAATTTTCCTTGCGTTTTCTTCTTTGATCCATCATTTTTTGAGACGTGTAAGACTTAATTTTTAAGCATTTAAGGATTGTTTAGTTAGCTTTTTGTTACTGATTTCTAGTTTTTAATTCCACTGTGTTTGGAGAACGTGCTTTATACTATTTGGATTCTTTGGAATTGGTTACTGGTACTGTTTTAGGTACCAGTACTGTGGGTTAATGCAGAGTTGGTTTAAACCACAAGGTCACTAGTCGCTCCTCGGTAACCCTATCCAGTGTCGCTTTCAGCCGAAACCAACTCAGTGGCACACAACAACAACAACAACTCCTCACTTAATGGCTATCTCATTATCTGACATTTTGATTTTAGGAAAACTTTGAAAAAAATTCTTAGGTGGTGCCTCCAGTGCCCAGGCCCCATGTGGGGCCGTAGCTGAGTCCTGGGCACCTTCAGGTCACCCCGAATGATATACCTGAGGCCCCAGTGATGATGGGCCACTCACAGGATGCCTTCTCCCATTTGCCCAAGGAGGCCAGTGAAGTTGGTGAGGGGAGACAGGCAGGGGAGGGGGCCAGGAGTGGCTGCAAGGCTGACGCCGACAGAGACTGAGCAGGGTCCCTGCCCAGAGCTGGAGATGGTGGTGAGCTATACCTGACTCCCACTCCTCCAACCTTCTGGGCTCCACCGTGGGGGATGAGGCATGACGCACATCTTGGGATGTACCAGGGGTGGGGGGTGGGGTGGTGAGCCCTGGGTGTGACAACTGCCTCCCATGGCCCTGACTTCATCTGATGACCTGGTTTTTGGATTCTTGCCGTGTTGGTGAGTGAAGAGTGCATGCATTAAGAAATAGGCATGTTAAAATGGCCAGATGAACCCTGTTCTGTGGTGTCATGTTTCATTTCAGGCCCTGAAAACCCTTGGTTGGTCCAGGCGTATGTGTCAGCAGCCAAACACCCCTTTGCTTCTGTGGTGGCTCAGGAGGTGTTTCAGAGCGGCATCATTCCTTCCGATACAGACTTCCGTATCTTCAGGGACTTTGGGAACATTCCAGGTATGTTGTCAGTGGTTTTATGGGCTGATTGTGCGGCACTGATTTACGAAAACAAAGCTTTGCCTTTGGAATTTATATGTGAGTGAGATTTTCTCAGAAGATCCTATGAGAGCTCTGCTTTCGGACTCCACAGTCCCCCTCATGTTTTCCCTGTGTGTATGCACCACACTGTGGTCACTGCTTGCCTCCTCTAGAATACACCCTCTTGCCTGTAGGGTGACCACCAGACAGCAGGAGCTGCTTAGCACTCATCTCCAAACGGTGGTTGTTACTTGGCTTTGCCAACTCTCTTTGCAACTTGTCCTGTGTTATTTGAAACTGAACTTTAGCTCTTACTTGGCGCGGCTGTAGGTGGTAAGCTTTGGATGACCACCAGTGCTCCACATGCCTAGCCCTTGCTGTGTACATCCATCGTCAGTACGTCTTGGGCTGGGCCCTGCAGCTGTGGGTTCTCTAAGACTTTGGAAGACGGTCCTGTCACTGAACCAAGAATAAATAAGCCCAGAGCAAAGTTGATGTTTAATGCAAAATCCCTTTGTTTGTTCCCTGTTTATGTTGTAGGAATTGACTTAGCTTTTATCGAGAATGGATACATTTATCACACCAAGTATGACACGGCAGACAGGATACAGACAGATTCCATTCAGCGAGCAGGTTGGTTCCCATTTAGACTTTGATACACAGTAAAGCTACGTACGAGACAGTGTAGGGTGTGAATGAACCAGGGCTGTGGAGTTGGGGGTGGGGTGGATGTTAGCCTGCCATCTGCTGGTCCAGCTAAGAGCACTGGGGAGCGAGCTGACCCGAGTTGTGCTGGGCTTGCTGAGCATTGAGAAGGGCGGCCCAACTGAAGACCGTCTTCTCTTCACACACGTTTGAACAACTTCCTCCAGTCTAGAAGGAAAGGAAACCATGTTGACCCAGGTTAGGTGGTGAGGGTAAGTGACGTGGCTATTGGGCAGGTGATGAAGGAGGACAGTAGGACAAGGAAGTTAGAGGTGCTTTCCAGAGAGATCTGAAATAGTCTAAGGACGTGCATGGTTATCACTCCACACAAGAGCATTAGCAGGGGTGTGTGTGTGTGTATGTGACGTAAGTTGCATTTTCAGAAATACAGGGAATTGGGGAAAAGGAATGGGCAGAGACAACCATAGAAGGCTTTGCTGCTCTGGGAACTAGGTCTGCGTGCATGCATGGGTGAAGTAGGCACGATGGTTTTGAACTCTGTTTGTCTGGTGCTGCCGTGGGGGGTGGGGGGGGCTATAGGAGGGCCAGGAGGCAGGGCAGGTCTGGACACTCCCGCAGTGATCAGAACTAGCCCAGCGATACCAGTAGGTGGACAGGAAAGGGAGCCAGTGGTGGAGGAGACATACCTGGCTGTACGTCTAGGAGGACCTGTGATGTGAACCCACTGGCGTGAGTGTAAGGACCACTGACCATGGTGGTTGTGGAGACCGTGGACTCCGGTGGACTCACCCAGATGAGCATGAGTGTGCTTCTTGGCCGCCTGCACATGCAGGCTTAGCCCTCCTCTAGAAGACACGTAAGGGCCTCGGCTGCAGAATGGAGGTGGATGTTGCCAGAGTGAAGGGAAGGAAAAGGCTTAAGACTGAGCAGATGGAGACACCGTGGAAGAGGCAGGGCAGAAGGCCATGTGGTATCTTAGAAGGCAAAGGAAGAGAAAGTCAAGGATGGCTGAGCATCAGGAAGAAATGCACATCGGCCCAGGCTTCCAAGGTACTCATTCCTTGATTGACGTAGCGTGTCTGCCTGGCATGGCTCTGCACGTCCTTCCAGCTTCAGTGCTGGCATGTTCTTATCCAGGACTTTTCTCTTCCTGAGTCGTGTTCTCACCGTCCACAGCCTCTGTCCATACAGTTGTTTCAGACCACAACTCAGTATGGCTGGTGTCTACTCATCCCTTAGTTATTGATATCACTCCTTAAGGGGTGCCTCCCGACTCCTCTGCCTCCATTAGTTCCCTGCCTCACTGTGCTAACTCCGCACACTTGGAGCTTCATTGAAGGCTGTTGTCTCAGCTCACCACTGACTGGAGTGTCTACAGCAGTGCCTGCCACCATCGCGGTATATGGCACTGAGTTTCTCAGTGGGGAGTTGTACTTATCATAGGCAGTGATTCTAGAGGAGGGAAAAGGGCCGAGGCTGTGCTTACACATGGCGAGGCAGTTAATACTGAGCACAGGCCTTACTGAAGACATTAGGAAGTAAAGGAGGAAGCTAGGAAGCTGTTGTCTGTATGGAAACAGAGGCTGGCTTCTTTCTGCTCTAAGTAGTGGGACCTGTTCAGACTGCTCCGATCATTCACTGGCTGGTGTTGTCTGCCTTTTCTGTACCAATAGGTGATAACATTTTAGCGGTTCTTAAATACCTAGCTACGTCCGACATGCTGGCCTCTTCCTCCAAGTACCAACATGGAAACATGGTCTTCTTCGATGTCTTCGGCCTCTTCGTCATTGCCTACCCCTCCCGTGTTGGCTCGATAATTAACTACATGGTGGTCATGGCTGCTGTACTCTACCTGGGCAAAAAATTGCTGCAGCCCAGACGTAAGAGTAAGTATTGCGCTCTGCAGCTGTAGGTGCCGGCCTGGGTAGGGGATTTCCCTGAAGTTGCTAAGTCATTCTGCTTCTACCATTGCAAATGAAACCCAAACCCACTGCCAGGTGGGTTTGAACCACTGATCTTGCAGTTAGCAGCCTAACGTTTAACCCATAGTGCCACCAGCGCGCCTTTGTATCATTTCAAAAAGTTAAGAATCTGAAAACATAGCATTTGACTTGTAGTTCTGAGAAATGTCTGAGTGACTATCAGGAATGGACGTCCCAGTGTGAGGCTGTAGGAGAGCGCACTGGACCTCAAGGGCGGCTTGAGCCACAAGGTCGGTGGTTCAAACTCATCAGCTGCTCCTTGGAAACATTCTGCAGGGTCGCTATGGGTCACAACCGACTCGACAGCACGTAACTATCCAATAAAGATGCTCATTATGCTTTGGTCTTAGTGGAAGCAGGTGATTTTTATGTGCTTACACACGCCGTAGGCGTACTGCACAGGAGTTACTGAAACATGGACTGTACAGATTTCTAAGGAAAAGTCCCTATAAAAAGTCCCATCCATGCTACAGACTAATAGCACCTTGGAGTGTAAGTGAACAGCTTTTGATAGAACTGTTTTAATCGTTCTCCTTGAAATGTTTCATCGTCTTCGTTAACATCTCTGTTACAAGATAAAATACTTAGCAGTGATTTAAATAATCCTCTTCCCTCATGATTTTCCTATGCTCCTTTCTCTTTCTGTGTTGGCTTCTTTTGACAAAGTGGTACCTGGGACTTTACCTTCTGTTCTTGCTGATACTTTAATACAGAAGGCACACTCCAAGGTTGGTGTGCTTAAGACCACCACTGTGCTTGCCAGAAGTGAGTCTGAGCCATTTCTGCAAGCAGGGTGTCCTTACTGTAGACATCCACGCAGTCAGTACTGCTCACGGATGCGCTTTGATACCTTCCCTGCGGCCTCTGCTAGAGAACCCTAGGAAGAGATGTACTCCAATCAATTTGGAAATCTAGAAGAGATGGATACAGTTTTAGAAACGTACCCATCAACATTTCTAGAAGCTGCATCCATGTCAGCACTGGTAGGTTTCAGTTTATTCAATTGATGAATTTCCAGTTGATGTTTGTTGTGTTGATTCTACTGACTTAATCAGAGATTTCCTAGGATTCCTGCTGACACAGTGGACTAAGTATCGGGCTGCTAACCCTGGGGTGACCGGTTCGAGCCCAATACCTGTCTACGGGAGAGCGATGAGGCTGTCTGTCCTCATAAAGAGTTGCAGCCCTGGGAACCTTGGGGAGCAGTTTGACTCTGCTCTGCAGATCCCTGTAAATTAGAATCCACTCAACCGACGGCAGTGGGTCTGGGGTTGGTTTTGGTAGTCCAGTGGTTAAGAGCTAACCAAAAGGTTGGCAGTTGAGACTCCCAGGAGAAAATTGGGGCAGTCTGCTTGCATAAAGACTTACAGCCTTGTCCACGCTGTGAGCGGGATGGACCACAGGGCTGTGGGTTTGGCTCTGGTCTGCCCCATGTGACTGACTGCATGAAGGTAGTGATGGCAGCTTTTGTCTTCTTTTCATCAGCGGCTCACTACACGAAGGACTTCGTCTGTGGGCTCGGCATCACGCTGACAAGCTGGTTCACCAGCCTCATCACCGTTCTCATCCTAGCTGTACTCGTCTCTCTTACCGGACAGTCTCTCTCATGGTACAGCCACTTCTATGTGTCCGTTTGTCTCTATGGAACTGCAGCTGCAGCCAAAATCATATTTATACACACCCTCGCAAAAAGATTTTATTACGTGGTAAGTGGGAGACACGTCTGTGGATTTCCAATGCTGCTTCAAGGATTGAAGACAGACTCCAGACGGAGTCACTGCATTTGGCCTTTGGAGCCCTCTAAGCTTGATCTCTGGTAGCGTAGTGGTTATGAATTGAGCTGCTAACCGCCACGTCGACAGTCCAAAACTACCAGCTGTTCCGCGGGAGAAAGATGAGGCTTTCTGCTCCCATAAAAATTTACAACCTCGGAAACCCTATACAGGGTCACTATGAGTCGGAACCGACTCCACGGCACATAACAACAACAAGAAGCTTGATCTGCCTGGCTACAGAACACTGGCTCCCAGGGCCGAGTTGGTGTTCTGGAAGGTGGCTTGTGGGGTGGCTTGGGTGCCAGCACTGGAAGGAGGTGGAATGAGTTTGCTGGCTGTAGGCAGAGTTGGCAGCGGTGGCAGCTTCCGGCAGCTATTCCATCTGCTGTCTCTGTGGTGGTACCCCACACCCACCCTGGGTCACCCAGGAATTGATGTCGTTTTAACATCTTCATTCCCTACTGGACAGTAAGCTCCCTGAGGCAAAGCTCGTTTTGTTCGTAGCTGTTCTCCCCCTGTGCTCAGGCACGTCTGACTCACAGCACGAGTGCAGGGGCCAGTTTCTGCCTGAAACAACCTTGCGCTGACAGGATTTTCTCTTGGGTTTTCCTTCATGTTTTCTTTATACGTGCACGAGGGGCTTCAAACAAGGTGTAGGAAAATTCCATTATCTTTTCATTCTATTTCCCACAAACTCGTTGAAGCTCCCTCATTGCAGATTCTGACCCTGTGCACTCATTGCTAAAGAAAAAAGCAGGAAAGGAGATAGGGTTTCAAAATGAAGTACCAGTGCCCATTTACAGACTACTGCCTTGGAATGACTTCTACTGTGTAAGTTTGCTTCTTGTTGTTAGCTGCCATTGAGTCGGTACCAACTCATAGCAACCCTGTGTAGGGATAATAGGACTAAAACAAAAAGAGAGAAAATTACAGTGCAAGAGAGAGCCTTGGTTTCCGAGCTTACAGGCAAGCAAGTTGAAGGGTTTATCTTTTTTAGTGGCATTACTTTCCAAACAGGCCATGTCTACTGGCTTGTTCGCTGGCTTCGCACAGGCTATGAGGAAGACCCGGACCGCTAACCCACTAAGAGCATTTTCCACAGGATGGCTTTGGTTCCCAGACCTGGCCATGGCTTTCATTTATGTTGGGGTGTCTGCATTCCCTTCCTGGTTCGCAGGCCCAATGGAAGAAAGGCTTCCTGGGGCTGCTCACCCTGCTTGTGATTGAGCTAATACTTTAATCCCGGTGCCTTCAGTCTCTAGAGGAATTAGCCCACGGGGCTCAATTTCACATGCTTATTCTCCAAGCATCTGGATGTAAACCGAGGGCGACTGATGACTCTGACCAATACTAAGAACGCAGTCATAAAGCCTCGTGCTGAAAGCAGCCTTGAAAGAGGAGCGTGTTGGATGTCCAGTGCCTCAGTCACGGGGCCCTTAGGGACTGCAGAGTTCCCGAGGGAATGAGGCAGGGTCGAAGGTGCACAGTGTGGGGGCATACAGAGTCAGGGAGGCTTCATAAAGGGGGTGGTGATTCCTGAACTGAAGCAAGCTGGCCAGATGGAGAACATGCCTGTCTGGACACCTTTCCCCAGGTTGCCTCCTGTCCTGAGGAGAGAAGGTACAGGCTCCGTATAAGCGCTGTTCTTGCTCCATTCCAAGGTAGGAAAGTGTAAAACTAGGGCCTCAGTGGCAGAGACACACAGCTGGAGAAGTCGGGCAGGACCAGGTGGGAGCTGGATGATGAGCTGGATTCCACAAGACGCTGCCAGCCCTGGGGACAGATGGGAAGTCGGGTTAGGAATGTTCTATCCAGAGTAAGAGCCCCGGCGCTGTGGATTAGGTGTGGGGCTGCTCAGAGATTTAAGGTGTCGGAAACCGTATACGGGGACGCTATGAGCTGGAGTCGACTTGATGGTAGTAGATGCATCTTAGAGTAGGAGACCTAGTGCTTAGTGGTTAAGGATTCAACAGCAAGTTGACTGCACTACTGTTACACCAGCACCCCACAGGAGGAAGATGAGGTAGTTGCTTCTATAAATATAGTGGTTGTAGTGGTTATGTGCTGTGGAGTGGGTTCCAGCTCATGGTGACTATGTACAGGGTTTCCGAGGCTGTAAATCTTTTGGGAGCAGAAAGCCTCACCTTTCTCCCATGGAACAGCTGGTGGTTTTGAACTGCTGACCTTGAGGTTAGCAGCTCGACTCGTAACCACTACGCTACCAAATGACAGCCTCGGAAACAGTGAGGCATTTCTACTCTGCCCTGCAGGGTCGAGATGTGAGTCAGTCAACTCAGTAGCAAGAGTTGTACTTGTGTGTATATATTTATGTAAAACGTTGTCAGTTGTTACAGTTTTCATGGTTGAAATCTTCGTTTTTAAATGTCAGAGTGGTGTTCCACTTCTAATTGACTCTGAAGAATTCATTTCTCCTTTGAAAAAACCAAGTTTCCGGGTCCACAGTCTGTTAAATATACTAATGTCATCGTCCTAGGGAGGTTGGTCAGGCAAACTTGAGCTTGTTTTGAAACCGTGAGCACAGCACTCTTGTAACACACATGCCCTAGGGCCACGAAGGCAGGGGAGAGGAAAGCACCAGTATTCCTATTTCACTTATGGTATTTCTGGGCTGAAATTGTGGGTTACACGTTTGCATGAATGAGGCATTCGTGCAGATGTTAAAATGTAGTTCGTTCACAGAGCTGCTCTCCTCTGCGAGCCCAAGGCATTGCACAGCAACCCTCAAACTTCAAGTCTTAGGATTGTCCAAATTTTATAATGTGTGAGTTCCAGGGATACCCATTGGGTGGAGCCCATGCCAACTCATGGCGACCCCAGAGCACAGAGGAGGACTGTCCCAGGAAGTTTACAAGGCTGTCATCTTTACCAAAGCAGACTGCCTGTCTTTCTCCTGTGGTGAGGCTGGTGGGTACGAACCACTGACCTTTCAGTTAGCAGCTAGGCACTTAACCACTGTGCCACCAGGGCGCCTCTCTAGGAATACAGGGAGGTGTAAAGGTGTGCTACAAAGTTGGGGGCAGAAAAAACCCAGAGCTAAACCCACTGCCATCAGGTTGATTTTAACTCATAGCAACCTGGTGTAGAGTTTCCAAGGCCACAGACTTTACAGGAGCAGACAGCCTCGTTTCCCTCCCTTGGAGTGGCTGCTTGGTTTGAACTGCTGACCTAGCCCAGTGCCTAACCAAGCCAAATTGCCTGCCATGTGCCCTGGAGGCCCTGTGTTTTCCCAGGGTGCTGTGGCTGGGAACATGCTTTCCAGGGCCATTTCCCAGCATGCTCCACAAACTACAGAGATGAACGCCTTTAGGAGAGGCATGTGGTTTTTAATTGGTCTTTTTTCTTATTTTAGAACATTTCCAAAGGTTACTTTTAGTCCTCTGGAGGAGAGGCACAAATGGAATGCGAGCGATGGCATGGTTTTTATATTCCCCCTTGCTAACGTGGACTTAGGTTGGTTTGGGTTTACTTGAAAAGTGTGACGAGTAGCTCTTAGATCTAAACAAAGCACAGCTTTCCTATGTGATGGCAATCAGACAGCGGCGGCGGCAGGTCCGTCTGAATGCCCTGTGAACCAGACTGTTTGTTCTTTCTTCCAGAACTCCAGCAGTCAGTACCTGGGCGAACTGTACTTTGACATCTCGCTGTCTGTGCACTGTGCTTCCCTGATCATGCTCACGAGCCAAGGCCTCTGCTTGGCGTTCATCAGTGCTGTCTGGGTGGGCTTCCCACTACTCACGAAGCTCTTGGTTCACAAGCATTTTCAGCAGCATGGTAGGACGTTCATTGGTGCTTTTCATACAAAGGGGAAACGTCTTTAACATATTTTTAGGTAGCGCTTCCACGGATGATTTGTTGGGTGCATTTCCTATACTCCTGGGTTTTTCTGTTTTACTTTCGTTTTCAGACCACAAAGACTTTTCTCTCATACCTCATGCTGTATTCCTTTTTCATGTTTGATCTGTTCATTCATGTGTGTAGTTGTATACAGATTCACATCGTATTTACAAGTGGAAGTGTCTTATCTCCTGAGGGGATGTGTACCAAAAGGACAAATGTCCCCGTCTCACCTTTTAATTTTTCTAACTTGTTTCAATTGAGACTGCACACAGTAGAGCATGTGTCAGTTTAGTGATGGTGACGTGTACGAGTCGGTGACACCAATGACATTTTTTGGTGTGTGCCACCATTCTCACCTCCTTTTCTGAGTTGCTCCTCCCTGGGGAAACAAGCTCCCTGTCCGCTAACCTTCCTGTGGCATCTTCCCAGTGGCTGTGGTCACTCTCATCCCATAGAGGTCGTTCTGAAAAACACACAGCGCTGGGGCAGATGTCTTCTATAAGTTATGCTGAACTGATGTTTTATTGGGGCTGCTGGTGTGGTGTTGTAGGGTCAGCAGTTCAAATCTACCAGTTGCTCCTCAGAAACCCTGTACAGGGTCTTTCTGAGATGGAGTCGACTCGACGATACTTAACAACAATGACAACTGTTGATTTTAAGATGACTTCAGGGGCTATGCCTGGTTTAAAGGGTTAGAGAGTATCTCAGGGCCATAATTTTGGGGGTTCAGCCAGCTTCTGTGGCTCCAGAGTCTGAGTTCCATGAGAGTTGATACCTCTGTTCTATATTTTGTTCCTGTGGTCAGGAGCAGCTAATACAGGGTGTCCTAGCTACCAAGGTGCACGAGGCTTTTAGGACTCTGTGCACAACTGTAGAATTTCATGTGTGTGTTTCCTCTTCCCTAGGTGCTGGAGGAAAATTCCTGGTGGTTTACCTTTTGGGGATGTTTATCCCTTACCTGTACACGTTATATCTCATCTGGGCAGTGTTTGAGATGTTCACCCCCATCCTCGGAAGGAGTGGCTCGCAAATCCCACCTGACGTGGTGCTGGCTTCCATTCTGGCCGGGTGTATAATGGTCCTCTCTTCCTTTTTTGTAAGGAAAATGGTTTCTTCTTTATGTTTAGATGTGATGGTGAAGTAACTGTATGCCTCCTCCACCACGACTCATGGACACTGAGTCCATTCCGATCCCAGCGACCCTACAGGACGGGGTAGAACTGCCCCCTAGGACTTCTGAGACTCTCAGTCTCTATGGGAGCAGACAGCCTCATCTTTCTCCCAAGGAGTGGCTGGTGGGTTTGAACCGCTGACCTTGTGGTTAGAAGCCTCTCGTGTCACCAGGGTTCCTTTTAACCAGACTAGGGTCAAACCCACCGGCTGCTGTGCAGGAGGAAGATGTGCAGCCTTGGAAACGCTGTCTCTGGACACTTGGAGTGGGAATGGACTGGACAGCGTGAGAGGGAGGGTCTGTGAAGCAGCGCTGCCGTTCCCTTACCTACAGGCTCTGAAGTCAGAGATGCCGGGGAGAGTGGGGGGCAATCTGGTGACAAAATGTCGACTGGGCCTTGTGGTTCCTGGGTTGGTTTTTTTCTTTCACTTTTTATTGTGAATTGAGTGAAGGTTTACAGACAAGCTCATCAGTTTTATAGTCTACCAATCATACCCTTGGTTTCATCTCAATGATTACAGTCCCCTCCCTGCAACAGCTCCTATCCCACTTCCTCCCAGTGCTTCCTAGTCCAGTCCACCCTCCTCCCAGCCCTTCTCACTTTTGTCCTTAGCTCAGTGGTGCCCTCTCGATTCTGAATAACTGACCATTCCATGGTGAGCAGCCCTTACTAGTGATGTTGTCCCCCTTTATAAACCTCTCTACTGTTGGCTGAAAAGTGGGCTCTGAGGGTGTTTCTTTCCAGATCTGAAGGGTGGTCGAGGGGCATAGTCTCAGGTGCCTCCAGTCTCCTTCTGACCAGTAAGCCCAGTCTTCTTTCATAACTTGAGCTTTGTTCCACATTTTCTCTCACTCTATCTGGGGCCGTCTCATGTGATCCCTTTCAGAGCAGTTGTTGGTGGTAGGTAGCTGGGAACTGTCTAGTTCTGCTGGTCTGAGGTTGTAGAGATTGATGCTCACGTGGTCGGTTAGGGAGCGCTGAGCGTCAGGGGAGGGTGATGGTGTGATTGGGGAGTGGATAAGGGTGGTGGGGAAACAACAAATGAGCAGGATTCGTGTCCCTACTGATTGTGTCAGTGACACGTGGTTTGTTACATACGTGTTTACCTCAGTAACAAGACAGTGAGTAAGGACACCACACCTGGTCAACAATACCCACGAAAATCCCTTCAGCAGCCTGCCAGCCCCGTGTGCACTGAGCTCGGTGGTCATCTTCTGCCCACTGCTGTGTGGGTTCTGCTGACCGTGGCCTGCAGTTGGGATGTCCCAGCAGGTTACCTCTCAGAGAAGGATGAAGTCTTAATGGTATGTCCAGGGCTGAATGGAGAATTCTTACATGTTCCCTCTTGCCTGCAGGGTGTGTTTCTCCTGCCTCTATGTTAGCATTAAAGCCTTGGCAGGAGCTCTGCTAGCCATCTGGTAGCGTAGTGGTTACGAGTTGGGCTGCGAACCTCAGGGTCAGCAGTTCGAAACTACCAGCTGCTCCACAAGAGAAAGATGAGGTAGTCTGCTCCTGTAAAGATTTATAGCCTTGGAAACCCTGTACAGGGTCGCTGTGAGTCGGAACCGACTCCACGGCACATAACCACAACCTTCTATATATGTAAACAGGTAGGTGTCCCAGCGCCTGTAGGTTAGGTTCTGATCTAAAAGTCAGTTGAGGTAGAACTGGGTCCCCCAGCGTACATACTAATTGAAGTCAGTGAATGGACACTCTGAATGCCCACGAAAAATGACCATGACATGAGATGTTTCTAGTCGATCCCATGATCATGTGGACGGGACAACACTGGGCGCTTGCTCTGTGGACACTGAAAATGTCTCCAAAACGTGAAGGCCCTGTACACCTGAAGGAGGATGCTGCTCTGGGAAGCGTTTTGGAGAGAGTGCGTCTCGGGGACCTGGGAGAGCCTTGTGGACCTCTCATTGTCACCTGAGTGGCTCTGCTGCCCTTAGTGCTTGTGGACGTCTCCACATCGTCCCCCTACTGATGGTGGAACCACAGCACATTGTCTCAGTTCTCGGGGGCTGATCAACTACCTGCTAGAAAGCAGTTAAATTCTTGTCAGTGGTCAGCTCAATGGTACCACTAGTAGGAGCAGCACCTAATTCAAACCCACCCACCACTGCATGGGAGAAAGAGGTGACAGTCTGCTTCTGTAAAGACGACAGCCTTGGAAACACTCTGGGGCAGTTCTGCTCTGTCCTGGAGTCGGAATTGGACTCAGCTGTCGTGGGTTTGGTCTGGTCTTACATTAGTGGCCGCCTTGATGCCCTACAGCTGGGCCACCGTTGCACACCCTCTGCTGTGCACAGGTAACTAGGCCTTGATTGGGTCGCAAGGAAAACTAGGTAGTGGTTGTGGCTGGCTTGCTCACTTTCCCTTGGCTCCACGGCCAGCTGCCAGGCAGACAAGGCACTGCCTGGGCAGGTCAGAGGCATTGTTATCGAGGCGCAGGTGTGGGCAGTCCACTGTAATGGGGGGTGTTGACGAGTGTCGGAACAACCTAATGCATTCCTTCATAGTCTGTTAGGTGATACTTGTAACAACGCAGGCAGGCACTTCTTCAGAGAGCTGTCTTCCCCTGCCATGTTTCCGTCTCTGTTTTGTGTTTTAGATTAACTTCATCTACCTTGTCAAAAGCACAAAAAGGACCATGGTGACTTTGACTTTGGTGTGTGCGGTGACCTTCCTGCTGGTTTGCAAGGGAACATTTTTCCCTTACAGCTCCGATCCTGCTAGTCCAAAGCCAAAGAGGGTGTTCCTGCAGGTAAGAGCATCTTTGCGATTCGGGACAGGAAACCTGTGTGTGTTGAACGTCACGAGTTAACAGGAAACCCAGAGGACTTTTCGACTGCTGACCTTCCTTGCTGAGTTTCTCTGTGGCTGTGTGTGCAGTGATGAGGGAAGGACAAGACTGGCTGCCATGAGGCATTTTTACCAGCTACACAGCCATCTCCCAAGAGGCAGACTCAGAAGGTGCCCCTTGTTGGTTTTTTTTTTTTTTTTTAAATGTTTTTATTTTGGATTGAGTGAAAGTTTACAGGGCACATCATCAGCTTCATATTCAACCATTCATATAGCTTGTTTCATTACATTGATTATTATCCCCTCCATATATCATCAGTGTACAGTGTTTCTCTCTATCCTCTTTAGCTTTTTTTTTTTTTTTTTCATGGGGCGGGACTTTGCCTTTTTGGAATTTACAGTCTCAGCTTTTAGGGAAGGTTTTTACATTTGTCTGTGGATATCCAGGGCTCATGTATGAGATTACTAACAAGCATTACTGAATAATCAGATGAGGGACAGTTTGCTATGTCTGCTAGGTGGCTAGAGTCTGATCCTCAGAGCCTATGGTTTGGACGGTCAACAACGCTTGTGCCCTGCCCCTTGTTTTTGTTACCATCCAAGTTAAAAGAATGTACCTGGGAAACTAAGCACAAATAGGCATGCGTTGTCGTGGTTGTTTAGGAAGACAGGTGTAACAATACCTGTAGGCCGAGCGGGAAACCAGAACCCCACCAATGGGCAAAGTGAGGCAGGGCATTCAGTGTTCACAAAGCTGACCTTAGCTGCGATACTGTGTCACAGTGGAAAAGGTAGTGCAGAAATGAGGTCTAGAGCTTTCTCTAGATTTCAGACTTTGCACCAAATGGGCTCCAGCCTGTGCTGTCCAGTCATCTCAGGTAGACGAGATGGAGCGGCCAAAGAGAAAAGTCAAAGGAGCACCGGTTAACTGGTCCCAGAAAGTGGGTTATCATCAAACCTAACTTAAATACCAGGAGGTTGTGAACAAGGGCCGACGTCTATGCATGGATAGTTTTAAAAGACAAACGGATCGCTTTTTAGATTTTTAAGGTGAAAATCTAGACAATTTTCACACAGTGCATGGTTCCAGCTGTGCCAACATTCTCATTGTTTCCATTCGGTTTGCTCTGTTTCCTTTGATCTAACTTCCCTTCCCCTTTGCCTTCTCATCTTTGCTTTTGGGTAAATGTTGACTGTTTGTGGGAGCCCATTTCTTGTGGGTGACATTGTTTATTTTAGAAGCCAGTTTGTCATTTGGTTGATAGATGACCAGAAGAAATACCCTCAGTTCCAAGTACAAAGGGCATCTTAGGGTGATAGTCTCTGGGGTGGGGAACGTGGAAGACCCTCAGAATAATTTGATCTGGCCCTGCCAAGGCAGCCTCAGTTCCAGCCATCATGTTGTTGTCAAGTGCTGTCGAGTCAGTTCTGACTCATAGCCACCCTGTGTAGGGTTTCTGACGAGTGACCTGGTGAGCATGAACCACTAACATTGTGGTCCAAACCAACCTTCCAGTCCAGTGCATTAGCCCGCAGCTCCACACCAGGACTCCAGCCATCATGTTGTTGTTGTTGTTAAGTGCATTCGAGTTGGTGCCGGCCCAAAGCGAACCTGTATCTATTAGGGGTGAGGTACTTAAATGTTTGACTAAAATGTAGCAGGCTAATTTTTTTTTTTAAGGTTTTTATTGTGGATTGAGTAAAAGCTCACAGGGCAGATCATCAGTTTTACATTCAACAAATCATACACCTTGTTTCATTACAATGATTATAATCTCTTCCATGTACCATCAGTTAACAGTATTTCTCTTTATTCACTTTAGGTTTTTGTTTTTTTTTTAAAGAAACAACAAAATACTCAGGCATATATAGTAATTCACAGCTCCAAAGGGCACGTTCTGCAAGTCTGCCTCCTGGCCACCAGCTCTTAGTCCCTCTCTTCCTATGAATCTAGAGTCCTCAGCCACTCCCCCTCTCCAGAACCCCATCTCTGCCTCCGTCTGTGGCATCGAGCAGCAGGTTAATTTTTACGTTGATCATTGGGTGTGGCCTTCAAAGGATGCTATACATTATGGTAGCAGCAAGGTGCTCCACTCCTGCACTCTTCTGCGGTTTCGGACCAGTAAGCCTGGCCTCTTTTCGGAATTTGAGTTTTGTTTTATATTTTTCTCCCAATCCACGCAGGCTTTATTGTGTCCCTGGTAAGGACATTACGGTAGTGAGTGGTAGCTGGCATCGTCTGGTTCCGAGCTCCTGGTGAGGACGTTACAGTAGTTACTGGTAGCTGGCATCGTCTGGTTCCGAGCTCCTGGTGAGGACGTTACAGTAGTTACTGGTAGCTGGCATCGTCTGGTTCCGAGCTCCTGGTGAGGACGTTACAGTAGTTACTGGTAGCTGGCATCATCTGGTTCCGAGCTCCTGGTGAGGACGTTACAGTAGTTACTGGTAGCTGGCATCATCTGGTTCCGAGCTCTGATTAGAGGAGGCTGTGGTCCGTGTAGGCCATTAGTCCTATTACTGTTACTATTTTTTGAGCCGTTGATTGCCTTCATTCTCTGTTGCTCCGTACAGGTAGAGCCCAATAACTGTATCTTACATGCCCGCTCACAAGCTTTTAGGACTCCAGACGCTACTCATCAAACTGGGACATAGGACATTATCTTTGAAATGTGTTAAGATGCCAGTCAATTGAGTTGTCCCTTGAGACAAAGTGTGAGGCATTATTATGTTAGAGATTTTACAGCTTGCCAAACTTAGTGAGGCAGTTAGGTTACAGGAAGTTCTTTGTGTTTTAAGTGACTGTCTCATGTTTATGTCAGGAGATTTTCAGTCTTAAAAAAAGTCCTTTTCTTGTGCTATATTTGGGGTGCTCTTCTTCCTCTAGGCCAAGAGTTGGCAAATGTTTCCTCTAAAGGGTCAGCCGGTTACTCTTCAGGTGTTACGCTCAGCAGTCTTCTGTTGAAGCTGCTACTTTTGGAGTTAAATTAATGAGTGTGGCTGTGTTCCAAGAAAACTTTATAAAAATAGACAGGGTCCAGACCAGGCTTGTGGGCTATAGGTTGTCAGCTCTTGCCTGTGCGAGTCTTTCTTTCTTCTTTGTTTTTTTCTGTCTGATATTCTGATTTCTGCTATGAATAAAGTGATTCCAAACGGACCAACCGCGTCCCCTTTTCATAGACTCCTGGTAGACACTCGCCTGCCACCTAGTGGTGAGCTGTGATTCCTGTTTCTCTGTGCACATTTAACACACTGAAAGATGAATGTCTGTGTATTTAGGAGGTTGGGGTTTTTTTTTAATCCTCATCTAAAAATAGTAGGGTATTCATTTTTGTTACATGAAGTATAAATATAGTTGTGAAAAGCAATACGACAAAACCTCTGTGTATCCTTTATCCAAGTTAAAACTTCGGAAGGCAGAGTGTACACTCCATCCCAGCTCTCTGTCCGCCTCAGACCCCAAACTCTGCAAGAAGTCGTCACTGTCTTGAAGTTTGGGTACCACACCGTGTCGTCTACAACATCGTGCAGTTCTGCCTGCTTTTGAACTGCTTACAGAAGGGACCAAACATAAATACTCGTTTGAAGTTTTACTGCACAGTGTGTGAGAACCACTCACACTGGATTGTGTTCATTATTTGTGGCGCTGTGGATTAATGTGCTGGACTGCAAGGGCGGTTTGAACCACAAGGTCAGTAGTGGTTCATGCTCACCAGCCGCTCCTCGGAAACCCTACACAGGGTCTCTGTGGGTCAGAACTGACTCGACAGCACTTAACAACAACAACAATAGACTTTGGCTGTAGGACGCTGCCCCATTGTGTCATCTACTTTTAGTGGACACTTAAGGAGCCCTGGTGACGTAGCGGGCTAAGCATTGGGTTGCTAACTACAAGGTTGGTGGTTCAAACCCCCCAGCCGATCTGCAGGAGACACATGAGGTCCTGTGCTCCTGTAATGAGTCACAGTCTCAGAAACACCCTGGGGGCAGTTTTACTGTGTCCAGAACACACCAGGTGGCTCTGAGGTGGAACTAGCTCGATGGCACTGGGTGGGATGGTCAGCTGGCTGGGTTCTCGTCGCTCTGTGTCAGCATGCGTGCCCTTGGGGAGGGTTTCCCCAGGCTCTGTGCTCAGGAGAAGACTTCTGGCTGCAGAGCGGGGGATGCCCCACAGCTTGTGCCTGCAGCTGTCCATACACAGCCTTCCTGGGTCTTGTCAGATGGACGCTTTTTCACTAGTCTCGGGTGGGGAGGTGAGCAAAATGGTGGAAATGTCAATTCTTACCTCATCAGTCTTGTACTGAGAGTCCTGGTGTGGCCCTGTGGGTTAATGCACTGGACCACAAAATCAGTTTTAATTGCAAGTTGGTGGGTCAAGCTCACCAATTGCTCCTAGGAAGCCCTATACAATGTCGCTATGGGTCAGAACCGAGTCGACAGCACTTAACAAGTCTGTTCTGAATTTCAGCATGTGACTAGAACGTTTCATGGCTTGGATGGAAATGTGGCCAAACGGGACTCTGGCATATGGATCAATGGATTTGATTACACTGGAATGTCTCACATAACTCCACACGTGCCTGAGATCAACGACACCATCCAAGCTTACTGCGAGGAGACAGCGCCCCTGTGTGGTTTCCCGTGGTACCTCCCCGTGCACTTTCTCATCAAGTGGGTTCTCAAGTTCCCATCATTAGATCAGTACTGTATTGTTTCAACTGCTATCTTAGTGCAGAAGTCAGGTGCCCTGGGCAGAAGTGTGTTCGATCACCACAAAAGTTGTAGTTCTCTAGTGGACCCAAACCCTCACCAGAGTAGCTTTGCTTTTTTCATTTTGCAACTTTCTTCAGAATTTTGTGGCTTAGATAGGGTGGTACTTCAGACAAATCTAATAGGCATCAGTTAAGCATCGTTCTCAAGGAGCCCTGGTGGTACCATGGGATAAGCACTGGACTGCGAGCTGTCAGGGAGAAAATGAGTCTTCCTGTTCCCATGAAGTGTTATAACTCCAGAGACCCCATCCTGGGTCACTGTGAGTCGGAACACACTCGCTGGCAGTGGTCTTGTGGGGCGAGCTAACTCTTCAGCTGGCTTCTTTCTGGGACGTCTTTATGGTGCTGTTAAGGCCTGAGGGAGTAGGTGGGTAAGCGGTTGGCTGCAAAGCAGGGGGTTGGTGGTTCAGACCCAGCAGCTGCTCCATAGCAGAAAGATGTAGTGGTCAGCGTCTGTAAAGATTCACAGCCTCGGAAACTGGGCAGTTCTCTGTTCTACGTGGGCACTAGGTCACTATGAGCTGGAATCAACTCGGTGGCAGTGGTGGGCTGTTTTCATCATTTGGTTTTTTCGAGTGAAGAGCTGCTAAGCTCAGAGATTGGCTGTTTGATCCCAGCCAGGGACTCCTGGGGAGAAAGCCTAACGACCTGTCAAGACCCTGAGGTGCGGTGCTGCTGTGTCGTTGGGGTGAGAGTGTGTCAGCAGCACCCCAGAGCAGCAGGCGAATCGCAGTCCCCTGGGTTGTAACTTTGAGAAGGCTTTCTGCGAGCTTCCGAGGAATGTCATATCCCAGACTGTCATAAACGGTCTGTGTGTGTGTGATAGATAGGTATCAGCTAATGAAGCCTCCGTACTATCGAAGCTCCTTTCCCAACAGGACCAACTGGTACCTTCCTGCTTCGGAAGTTTCTCCGCGAGCCCGGCCTCAGCTCAGACTCACGTCCAAGGAGCAGACCCCCTGGGATGCTATAAGGTTGACCTTTGAAGCAACAGGTAAGTCCCAGGACAGCTTAGGCAGCTCTCCTTCACTTCTTTTTAAAAATCTTTGTACATTAAATGGCTTTCTTGGTCTCAGAATTCACTGTAGTAACCAGCAACTTAGGAGGAGTTTACAGTGTTTTGTTTTTTTTTAACTCTTTATTGTGACTCGAATGAAGGTTCCCAGAGCAGTTCATCAGTTTTACATTTAGCAGCTCCTGCATTGGTTTCAGTCCCCACCATGCACCCCACTGACCCCGGCTGACGGGGCCTGAAAGCCCTAGAGGCTGCCTCTGGTTGGTCAGGGCCTCGTGGACGAGCTCAGTGTCAGGTTCCGAAGTTCATTTGGTCTGACATCAGTCGGCGTGCCCAGCCTTAACCTTGCTTGACATCTTTTATGACACTTCCTCTCTCTTCTGAATGAATTTGTGTAATACTGACGTTTCTTTCTAAAATACTTGTTAAAATTCACGGAGAAGCCATCTTAGCCTGGACTTTGCTTTGTAGGAAAGTTTTAAATTACAGTTATGATATATAACAAGCATAGGGCAATATGGACGTTGTATATGTTGTGGGGACAAATTTAGTAAATGTTTTTCAAGGGCCTTTGCTCTTCTGTGGTTGGGGCTGGGAAGGAGTGAGGAGTTAAGAGGGTGGGGTTGGGACTATTACTGGGTCTAGGCTAGGCCTAGGGCTTCATTCATTATTAGGGTTACGGTCGGACTAGGATTCATGTGCTGTCTGACAGGGTTCCACTGCTACTTGTAAGGTTTCCAGGGGCTAAACATTCCAAAGTCGTCAGCCTCTCCTCCTTCCTAGTCTGCTAGTCTGGAAGCTCAGCTGAAACCTATCCATCGTGAGTGTCCCTGCTGGTAATTTAAATACCGGCGACATTGCTTCCAGCAACACAGTAACACACAAGTCAGCACAATACGACCCACTAACAGGTGAGTGACCAAAAGGGATGTCAGAAGAGACTCTGCAATGTGCTCTCCAATGGAAGAAAGGAGGAAATGAAAAAAACTGAACAGAAAATTTCAAAGGGGCAGCTCAAGACAAAGTCAAATATTAGAATGAAATGGGCAAAGATCTAGAGGTAGAAAATCAGACAGGAAGAACACGTTCAGCATTTCTTAAGCTGAAAGAACTGAATAAAAACTCAAGCTTTGATCTGCAATATTGAAGGATTCTGTGGACAAAATACAGAAAGCGCAGAAAGCATAGTCATGACACAGAGTCACTATACCAAAAAGAAATGGATGATAGTCAACCGTTTTAGCATGTGATCAAGGGCCAGTGATAATGAAGCAAGAAGTCCAAGGTGCACTGAAGGCATTGGCAAAGAACAAGGTTCCAGGAATTGATGGAATACCAATTGAAATCTTTAAACAAACTGATGAAGAACTGTAGGTACTCACTCATCTAGGCCAAGAAATTTGGAAGGCCGCTACCTAGCCAGCTGACTAGAAGAGATCCATATTTGTGTCCATTCCAAAGAGAGGTGACCCAACAATGCAGAAATCACCATTAGTATCACATGTAAGTAAAATATGGGCTAAAGATAATTCAACAATGGGCTGGAACAGTCTACTGACGGAGAGCTGCCAGAGGTTCATGCCGGATTCAGAAGAAGACATGGAACAAGGAGGAGAGAGGACTGTCACTTCTGATGTCTGATGGATCTTGGCTGAAAGCAGAGAATACCAGAGAGATGTTTTCCTGTGCTCTGTTGACTGTAAAAGCTTTTTTGTCGGACCTGGGCCTGGTCTGCTCCGCCTCTTTACTTGGCCTTGTCCTCACTCACGGAGCTCAGACTGTCAGCCGTTGGCGGTGCCGAGTCAAGCTCTCCACAGTGATGCCACGCATGAACTGCTGCAGTCGGGTTTAGGTCAGGAGTTTGTCACATAACCACACGCTTTTCCTCTTGTTGTGCAGGACCAAGCCACATATCGCTCTACATCCGAACCCACAAAGGGTCGACGCTCACCCAGTGGTCTTTCGGCAACGGTACCCCAGTTACGAGCAAAGGCGGTGACTACTTTGTGTTTTACTCGCATGGACTCCAGGCCTCCGCGTGGCGGTTCTGGATCGAAGTACAGGTGGGTTGTTGGCACTGCCTATGCCACTGGCCCAGGTCCTTGGGGGAGAGTGAACAAGAGTCTGTGGGGCTATCTTGCCACTGGAGGGAATGAGGCTTTTCTCACTCTAACTGGTTTTCTTTGCCAGGTTGCAGAAGAGCAGCCAGAAGGTCTGGTCACCATGGCCCTGGCTGCCCACTATTTCTCTGGGGAAGACAAGCGTTCGCCCCAGCTGGATGCACTGAAGGACAAGTTCCCCAACTGGACATTTCCCTCTGCTTGGGTGTGCACCTACGACCTCTTTGTGTTTTAACCTGTGGACTATTTTCACGTGCGTGCTGAGCGGGGCAGTCACGGGACCTGCTTTCTCTGTGTGGGGTGTGGGCGTTTGTGACTCACGTCTGTGCATCTTAATGTGGTCATCTGTGTGGGTTGACGCTTGAGGGCCAAGTTCTCCGAGCGTGACGCTGTGGGCAGCAGTGTGTGCATGGCCTTCTATGCGCCTTTGCACGTGTGGATGCCACCCACCGACATCACTGTACACGACCAAGGCCAGAAACCAGTCACCTCAGGATCATGACAGCTGTCCTGGGTACTGAGTGTGAAATTGTCACTTCCCATTCAAGGCCAGGACCATTGGCTATGTCAGTGAGTGATGGTCAAATACTGTCCACTGACCGTGAGCCCCCTGAGACCGACCCCCGGGGCTGTTGAGAGGACCGCACTGCAAACGGGCCGGAGCCACGGGCTTCTTCACTGCCCTGGAGAGCCCCGTGTCTCTGATAGGCCCCACGGCGACTCCCTGCGGCCCTCCTCACGCGGCTCTCCAGTGCTTCTCGATGCCTTGTTTCCCTCGGACACGGCTCCACTCCCCTGGGAGGTTGAGAAGTGGAGCATTGTCCTCGGGGTGTTCCGTCTTGTGCAGGCTGCCTGGCCTTCCTCAGCACACAGTCACCTGCTTGGCTGTTCGGGGCGGTGCTTGGGAGGGGCCGGGCAGGTGAGCCCTATTTATTCTCTCTCCGTTGTTTCGGAGGCATCTCTGCCCTCTGGTCCTTTATTTGCGTCTGGTTTTTAGCCAGCCAGTTGAACAGACGAGTGTCTTGGTAGCTTCCTGGCCGGTGGGGCTGGTTCTCCTGAGACAGGCTGTGGCATGGATGTGGGTGGGGCCAGGGTGCTGGTCCCAAAGCCACAGTGGCGCCTGGGATGCTGGGAGGTTTTTCCCCATGAGCATGCGGGGAAAGCGAGACACGTTTTGAGTTTGGAAAACAGGTCAAAAGAACATTTTGAGGAAATGTTTTTGTTTTTTCTAAAAAATGAGCTCATGTTTGCGATAAGAAGAGGGCTACTTCTTGAAAAGCCGCATCATCCGCCTGACAGACAGCACGTCTTTGTCAGGCTCCGTGTGCCAGCCCAGCCTGTGACCCCCAGTGAACCCGTCTGCTCCTGGCCTCGGGGAGGCCTCACAGGCCTGGCTTGGTGGGGCCAGCACCTTTATTGCCAGGCTTATGTGGAGGGAAAGCTAGGAATGGAAATATCTCAGTGCCCTTCAAAATGTGACCTTTTTCTTTCATCCCTGTAGTTTATCAGAAGGAGATTACTAAAAGAATATTATGGAGGAGAAAACAAAATCTCAACTGTTGAGGACCTTGTAAGAAAAATGGTTCCCTGTGATTTCTGACCCCTTTGCTGAGGATGCTGGTAATTTTTCCTTCTCAGGAGTAATCATGGCTGTTTTCTTGCTGCTACGGTTTTCCTTAGTGCTGGGAACCTTTAATCTGGTACACTGTCCCTGGTAGGCTGCCTGTGGGCGCCAGGCTCACTGTGTGGGAAAGAGCTTTCCCGTCAAGTCAGTAGAGGCGGCACCTGACTGCAGTGCGCACCCTTATGTCCCATCCACAGCTCTGAGCTTTTCGGTAAAGGAGATCCCATCACTGGATTCTCATTCTGAAAGCATGTTTTTAGACCTTACCAAACTCCCTCACAGTGGCATTATTTTCTACAGAATTTGGTTGTAAGCACAGCACTGCGTACTCGGGGCAAGGGTGGAGAACTGCGGTGTCAAAATCATTCTGTCTCAGAGTCCGCCTTGCGTCCGACCCAAGGATGACTGTTTCCAGTGAAGCAGGATGCGTGTGGCACGTGGGGCTCCCTGAGCGTGCTGCCATGAAGGCCTGAGCCCGTCTGCCCACTAGGAAGCCTGAGCTGGAGGAAGAACGAGGTCTGTCCGTCTCTTTTCTCTGGCACATAGACTTGTCAAGGGTTAATTGTTGCCTGACAATGTTACTGGAATATCATTGGTTGATGTCTTTGATCAGAACAATAGATCTTTTGTAACTGCCCCTGTTCCTCTGTATCCCCCATATTGTGAGGGTTGTTTCAAACCCACAACCTATTAAAGCCTTAAAAAAAGGATTTGCTTTACAAGATTGGGGTTGCTCGTGGAGACACACTGCTGCTCTTGTGAGTGATGTGAACAGAGAACCCAGCCTGGGGGTGTAGTTTACTACAGCTGGAATGCCTTTACCTTGGAAAGAAATGATACCTTCAAAGTTTGCAGAAATTAACCAATGACCTATTATTTGGGTAAAAGTTAAGCTGCAACCGATTTACAAGTTTTAAACCACCTCCACTGGCAAAGCAAATCATCCAGGGGCCAATAAAGAAGGATGCTCATTTATGAATGGGGGTTGGGGGGTGGGAGTATCAGGGAGGGGAGAAGGAATTGCTTTTCTCCCAAGGGGTGGCCTGTGTGTCCTAATGTCCATGTAAGGATAGGTACTACCACGCCCCTCTCTCCGAGGCCCCCTTGTGGACCAGAGCTCGCTGTGAGTCAGGGGGCCCGCTCAGGTCCCTGGTGCCTCTCCCTCTGCTCCAGTAGAGCCGAGAGATACTGTTTTCATGGACCCGCTCGGGAATTTGTGGGTGCATCAATGCGGTGCTCTTTGCTCTTTGATACCACCACTTCCTTCTTTGGTTTGCCTCAAATATATATAGCATGTTGATCATGTCTCATCTCCAAGTTTGCCTTTCTTAAAACCACCATGAACTGACTGGTGAATCTCAGACAGATCATTTCTCAGGAGTAAGATTTGATGGGCAAATTAAATTTTACTGAGACCAAGTTATCAATAAAATAGTCACATAGAATATGGCAAAATATAAAAAAGGGTTATACGCCATAACCAAGTGGGATTGCTCTAGCAAGGCAAGGTCTGTTTACCATCCCGTGCCATACACCATAGTCAGTAACAGGAAGCACAGGGTCACCTCAATCGCTGTGCACACACGCGTGCACACACACACACAGACACAATCTGAAAAACGCCAACATCCTTTTATGATAAAAACACTCAACAAATTTAACACAGAACTTCTTCCGCCATGACAAAAGCATCTATAAAACCCTAAACTTACATCATATTTAATGGTGAAAGACTGATAGCATCCCCGTAAAGATCAGGAACAAGGTAAGCATGCCGTCTCCATGCTTCTAGTCAGTGTTTTACTGGGGATTCTAACCAGGCCAGTGAGGCAAGAAAAATGATATTAAAAGCATCCTGATCAGAAGAAAGAAACCTCTAGTTGCACATGACATGGTCTTATATATAGAAAATCTCAAGGAATCATCACACAAAAAACTATTGTTTGGTGCCATCAAGTTGGTTCCCACTCACCATCACCTGAATGCACAACAGAATGAAGCATTGCCCGGTCCTTCACCAGCCTCATCATCGTAAACATGAGCCTATTGCTGCCACCATGTGCCAGTCCTTTCTCCCTCTTTTTCGCTGACCCTCCACTTTACCAAGAATGGTGCCCTTACCCAAGACCTGGTCCCTTCTGGTAGGTACGAAGTATGGGAGAAACAGCAGTACGATTCTGACTGTGCTGCTGCCTACACAGATTTGCTTTGTTGGTAACTGATGTTACACCAGAACTCAAATGCATCAGTTCTTCTGTGGCTAACCTTATTCATTGTCTGACTTTCGCATGCATATGAGGTTACTGAACATACCATGGCTTGGGTCAGGTGCACCTTAGTCCTCAAGCTGACATCTTCACTCTTCAACACTTTAATAAAAGAGTGCAGCAGATTTGCCTAATGCTATACGTCCTTTGATTGCTTGACTGCTGCTTCCATGAATGTTGATAGTGGATCCAAGCAAAATGAAGTCTACGACAACTTCAATCTAGTCTCCATTCATCACGATGTTATTTATTGATCCAGTGGTGAGAATTATTTTTTTCTGTATATTGATGTGTAACCCATACTAAAGGCTGTGGTCTTTGATCTTCATCAGTATTTTAAGTCCTCTTTCAGCAAGTAAGATAGTATCATCTGCATATTACAGGTGGTTAATGAGCCTTCCTCCAATCCTGATGCCACATTCTTCATATAATCTATTGTCTCAGATTATGTGTTCAGCATATAGATGGAATAAGATGGTGAAAGAATACAGCTGTGGCACCCACCTTTCCAGGTTTCCAGTCAGTCAGTGTCTCCTTGTTCTGTACAAATGACTGCCTCTTGTTCTATGTACAGTTCTTCGTGAGCACCATTAAGTGTTCTGGAACACCCATCCTCTGCAATAGTGTCCATAGTTTGTCATACAGTCGAACATGTTAGCATAATCAGTAAAGCACAGGTAAACATTTTTCTGGTATTCTCTGCCTTTAGCCAAGATCCACTTGATGTCAGCATGATGCCCCTCATGCCACGTCCTTCTGAATCCAGCTTGAGCCTCTGGCAGTTTCCTGCCAATAGTGTTGCGGCCATCTTTGAATTCCCTTTAGAAAGGTTGTCCTGGCATGTGATAGGAATGGTATGTTTAGCTTATCTCCACAGTCATTTGGACCACTTCTCTGAAATGGGCATAGATACGGATCTCTACCAGTCAGCTGGCCAGGTGGCTGTCTTCCAAATTTCTTGGCACAGATGACTGAGTGCCTCCCTTCAATATTACAAGTTGAGGCTTGAATTTTTTTTTCAGTTCTTTCAACTTGAGAAAACTGTTATCACTAGTAAGTTCAGTAACGGGATATGATCATTCTATTTCTATACATTAACAATGAATAATTGAAATAATTTCAGTAGCATCAACAATACTACTTACAATAGCATCAAAAACACTAAAACAAATACCTAGGGGCCACCAAGAAGGGAACCCCTACCCTCTCGTAGAGATGTGTACCTCCCCCCAAGAGATGATGGCTATTCTACTAAAGACAGCTATTCAAGCAGAGATTACCCAAGTTCTCGTGATACAAGAGACTGTGCACCACCACCAAGAGATTATACTTACCGTGATTATG